ATATATATATATATATATTTTGCTGGTACCGGAATGATGTCCCCTCTAGTTAGTAGATAATCCATATCATGCATCAAATTTGTAGCTTCCTTGGGATGTTAATTATGCTTATACTGGATCATATTTGGAGAAATTATTAAAAATGGATGGCCCAGTGCAGTTAAATCCAACAGATAGGAAACAGACAGAGACTAGTAGTTTCTAGCCATTATCATCCTGTTGTTAGGAGATATTAATGCGTTGATTTTTCACATAACTTTTTGATGGCTGGTTATGCAAATTTTCAATTGTTTGCTTCTAGCTTTGGTGTAGCCATTGCCCTCTTTTGTTTTCTGTTTTTTTTAATAATTGAATGTTTTCAAAACCAAACTAGAAGAAATTTAACTATTTGTTTTAACCTGCATATTGTCATTTTTCTTTCAACACATTTTGTTTCTCTTGCTAAGCAAGGATCAATCTTAAGAATATCCAATAGATCTTCATGCTCTGTGTCACCTTCAATGATCGTTTTTCTGTATTAAACTTTTGTTTACAATTTTGTCATATTTGTTGGCAAGTTTAATATAAGGATCGATTGTCTTAGATGATTATTGAAATTAATTTAATCTTACATGTTGGTTTTATTCTTCAGTAAGTTTGCAATATTAACTTATCCACATTCCACAGGTAATCTTCACTTCTCTATGTATCTAAGCTCTCAACCTGATCTTCACTACTCTGCTTAGGTTTCTGTTTCAATTTGTATAGCCCATGGGCAGGATCTGATCAGCATGAGGTTGATGCTTTTATTTGATTGGTTAACTGCTAGAATCTTATATAAGGTGATCCTTTGGTTTGACTTTACAATATTCTCAGACATAAATGGTGGCTTAATTTTTATTTAGTTCTGGACTTGCATTAAGTTATGGCAGGTATTTGGCAACACGCACTTTTGCTGCATACTGCCAACATATTTGTGGACATTGGATTTGTTTTTAGTGAACCTGTGATAACTTCTGCAGAAAAATAGATGAATATACAATGCATCCAATTTCGCTTTACTAGATCGTGTCTAATTGTTGATTTTAACTGCTGATGATGTGATTCTTTGGAACTTTGCTGATACTTGTATCCTATTCCTTGAAAGAATGTAGCAAATTCATATGCTGATGTGATATTCTTATTTCAATCATCATTGCCATCCCCATTCCACTTGTCTGATGTAGCTTTTCCTCCCTCTTTTTAGTTGTAATATCTGTGACAAAGGAAGGAGTGAAGTTCTCGACCAAAGGAGACATTGGAAGTGCAAATATTGTTTGCCGGCAGAACACCACCGTAGACAAGGTAAGCAAGCAGATCATGGTTTCTTTTCTCTTCAAAAATTGAAGAGATTTTTTTGCTCGTGCCAAAGGTTTAAATGTGCGCGCACACACACACACGCGCTTCATGTTATTTCTAAGGAGCCTTTTGAGTTTCTGAAAAATCATGCAGCTTATTGTATCTGAATTACAGTAGGTTGCTTGTCGTGTTCCATTATGGGTTCTCGTATTCTCATCTGCGGATAAGTCGGATGTACTGTTCTTTGCAGCCAGAAGAATCAACTGTAATAGAGATGAAGGACCCAGTTTCCTTGACGTTTGCTCTTCGCTATCTGATCTCATTTACTAAGGCAACACCTTTGTCAAATACTGTCACAGTAAGCATGTCCTCAGATCTACCTATGGTCGTCGAGTACAAGATTGCAGACATGGGCTATATCAGATACTACCTGGCTCCCAAGATCGATGAAGATGAAGACCAGGCTTAACATCTCCCAAGATCTGTGTGTTTTTTTTTTTGGTTTTGTTTTGGGATGGTTTGATGTTCTTATCGTCTCTTGATGTGGTGCTTGTTTTTTTCTCTCATATAGGTTTGTAATGCTGAACATAAACGAATGCATCAATTACTTTGAGGATGAGTTTTTGTTGTCATAATTAGATTGATTCTTTTCCAGTTGTGATCATGTTATTACTTAAGTTGGGGAAGCTTTTAACAAGAATATTCACTTAAATTTTCGGATGTAATTTGCAATGGTCTTGAGTAGGTTCAACAATGCGTTGAATACTCAATTATTTTGTTCAATTTAGAACTTGATTAATTGTTCACTTGTATGATTTTGTCTAAAATTTAATATTATTATTTTTTGTCTAAATTTGATATTTTTTAATATTAATATGCATTCTTATTATAGATATTTTGAGGTTGTTAGCACATATCTATTGATTCGATAGTTTAATGTAACAAAGAAAAACTATAAAGGTTTGCATTTTATATTAACAAATGAAAATAATTGAAATATGCATAACAACACGATGAACAACTCAGATGTATCTTGGTCTTGTAATACAGAAGATATCATGATTAAGGATGTCATTGGGGCGAGGAATGTTTCGCCAATATCTATCTTTGTTTCATCCCTAATTAATTTTTTTTATTTAAAAATTAAAATTATTATCTAACTTAATTAATAATATTAAATTTATATATAATAAAATATAAATATATTTAAATATAAACAAAATCAAAATTAATATAACCTATACGAGAGAAAGGAAACGATGAAGACGGATCGAGGAAAAGTGTAAGGGGTGAGCGATGACGATTACGATTAGGAGGTGGGAGGGCTATGATGATTGCGATGAGGGGGTGGGGGTGCTACGGTGAAGGGGGAACTGAGAATGAAGGGAGGAGGGAGCAGAGAGTATTAGATGGGAGGAGAAGGAGAAAAAAAAGAAGAATACGAAGGGAGGAGGGAGCAGAGAGTATTAGATGGGAGGAGAAGGAGAAAAAAAAGAAGAATACGGAGGAATCATCATCAACATTCATAGTTCATTATTTATAATCATCAATCATCGGAGAAATCATAATTTAGCGATTGAGAAAAGAAGATGATCGATGAAAACAAAGTTTTACCTGGATTGGGTGCATATAGCATATGTTCACAAGAAAAAAATAATTATTATTGAATAAATAAATATTTTATTTGATTTAATTAAATTTAATAATTTTTAATTGAATCATAATCTATTTCATCAAAATTTATTTTGTCTAATTTAAATAATAAAAGTAATGATGCGGGAATGCTCGATCTGTCCTCGTCGGAAAATATAAATACCTTCAAACTCATCTCCATTTTTTTTTTATCCACTGTCAGGGTCGGGTCGCTGCGGGTACACATACCGCGCGTATAATTGACATCACTACTTCCGAACCCGCGATCCAATCGGAGGCGCGAAGCGATCTCCGAAGCATCTGCGGGAGGAGCCGACGCAGAGAATGGCGGAGGCGAGGAAACGAGTGCTGGTGGTGGGGGGCAGCGGATACTTGGGGCAGCACCTCCTCCAGGGCTTCTCGCGAGGCGCCGGATCGGAGCGGTACGCCCTAGCGTTCACCCACCACCGTCCGAGCCCTCCCGCGGAACTCGTCGATGCTGTCTCTCCGGTGCTCCCCTTCCGTGTCGACCTGCGGACCGGCGACGGCTTCGATGCCATCTCCACCGCCTTTGGCCAGGTCAGACGTTCTTCGCATCGATGCTCCCTTGGCCGTCATCTTAGATCCTTGCACGTAAAAATCAGCAGAAGAATATGTCTAATTGCAGTAGAACGATTCGATTACTTAGGGAGTTCCATCAGGTTTCGGGCGATGCAGATTGTTCCTCCTCGAGGGCTTCAAATTAGACGACCAGTTGTCTCTTTCAAATCTCTCGAAGTTAATGTTGTTTACTTGATGTTGTACATCCTCTAACTAGACCTGTAATTAGCAGTATTTCTTGCTTCGGTCTACTTCTGAACGTCTTGGGTTCTTCGTCTTTCTTTCTCATCAGCACAAAGAATCTTCCCCATTGTGATCTTTGCCAATGCAGCATGTGAAGTTGGTCACTGTAGAAACCGTGATTGTTTGTGGAGCCAAAGGCGCCGTGAAAATAGACATCCGGTTCTTGAAGTGCAGCATTCGTGTCAGCTGTAGGAGGCATGCATATTTCTCTTTTGCTGGATATCTGTTTTGGGTCTTTATGTTGTTATCAAAATATGTTTAGTCCAGGGAATTGTATTATCTGCAGCCATCACTTTCCTATGTGATTCTCATTGACATGATTTGTTTCACCATGCATAGTTTACCTGCAAGATAACCTGATTGAATTAAACCATGTGCTTAGGTTTAGCTGTCCGGTATTTGCCTTCATACAGATAAAAAGTGAACAGATTTAGAGAACAGAGGCCTCATTTATTTCCTGATTTATTATGAAAAATAGACTTGATGAGTTGACTCTTTATTTAAATTAACTTTGTTTAAACTCCGTACCTTTCAGCCAGATGTTGTTGTTAATTGTGCCGCACTATCTGTTCCTCGTACTTGTGAAATGGATCCTGCGGCTGCCATGTCTATTAACCTGCCATCTTCCCTTGTATACTGGCTATCAAGCTTCAAGAATAACAACTCTCTTTTAATTCATCTTTCAACAGATCAAGGTAAGCTAATTTATGTTTCTTTTACCGTGAATCATTATTTGTGAAACATGTGCTTCACATGTCTGTTTATTTGTGAAATATATGTGTACTCAACCAAGTGATGCTTCAAATGTATATTATATGTTGGCTCTTTATGCACGAAAAATGTGCTCCATGAAAAATAATTCCGAAGGCCTAGACAAAATGAAATGGTAGGTGAAACTTGTTGGCCTGACTTGTATAATGGTGTAAAATCCCATCTATGATTTGATAACTTTGGGAACTTGGATGAAACGTTTGTATTATTTGCATGAAAGATTGGGATTTGTTAAGTTAGTCCATGAGGTAGTCATCGTTAAGAATTTGTCTGACTTGGCAGAATATGCTATCCAATTGTACTTTTCTATGATCTGGAGTTAATTAGAAACAAAAACCATGAATGCTTAATGTTCGTGACATTGTAACTTCAATGCAACAATTGTCTTACTGTTATTGTTTGTAGACCAAAATTTTTCTTTCAAATGAAGGCACCAGTCAATACTGACTGATATTTGAAACAATAAATAAAGTCTAACACCAATCTATATGGTTAGGTAGTGGTCCTTGCTCGGATCAATAAATATCTGATGGTACTTACCAGTTTGACTGCTATATGATACTTGGATTTTTCATAGCACTGGCTGGACAATCTTACTTATTTACAGTATACTGTTTCTTTTGTATCTTTGATGTCATCTAAATTTCAACTTTTCTTGAACGCCTTTCGTACTTTTTTCTTTGATCTATCATTGTACCCTGGTCTAACCAACCTTAGATATTTGACCCCAAGTATAACAAGGTGTTCGCTCTAAATGATAGTTAAATTGTTGAATTTTATGCTGAACAAAGTGACACTTGTACTAATTTTGCTGATTCAATAGTTTTCTTTATCATTTTCTTTGATCATTATGCATCATGTTTGTTTTGTGATTGCTTCGAGATGGAGACTTTGCTTTGTGACTTTTACTTTCCGTTTTCTTTGTGCCTTTAGATAACTGATTCTTTCATGCAGGTATTAAGTATTTAATCTAATGTGGCTTCACTGAACTAACAGTTTATGAAGGTGTGAGATCATTTTACAAAGAAGATGACGAAGCTCTTCCTGTAAATATGTATGGAAAAACAAAAATTGCTGCAGAGAAGCATATAATTGCAAACTGTTCAAACTATGCGATCCTGCGGAGTAGTATAATATATGGCCCACAGACAATTTCACCTGTTACTAAGTCACTTCCAATTCAGGTGAGCATTTGGTATATCCAAGTCACCTTCCAACCATATGTAACAAGTAAATGTGGTGAAAAAATATGAGAACTCAAGATTTCTTAGAACCTTGGCTATTGAGCTTAATTATGATAAATGGATGTCATGACAAGCTCATGATGTTGGAACAAGATCTACATCTCAAGATTAGATCTAGATCTAGAGTGGCTCTTTAACTAGAACTAGATCATGATGTTCAAACCTGTTGCATTACCTGTTTCACTGTGATAGTTTATAACACCCAATTATTGCATTACCACCTTATGATTAAGCCAACATTGCCTAGATGACTGCTCTTCGTAACCCTATAGTTCTAGAACATATTGTGAACTATATTTATAAATTTGTTCCCTAGTTATCATGATCTAATGGAAATTAACATAAATTCCTTTTTTTTTCCTTCTTCTGACAAATACTAGTGTCTTCTCCATGCAGTGGATTGATAGTGCCCTTAAGCAAGGTCAAGAAGTTGAATTTTTTCATGATGAGTTCCGCTGCCCCGTGTATGTCAAGGATGTGGTCAATGTTATAATAGCTTTGAGCAAAAAGTGGATATCAGGTTGCACTTTTCAGCTTGTCTTCTGTTTTTTGCTAAAGGATCTCTAAAGAAAATTATGTATTTCTAAATGTTGACTGGTTATGGAGAAGATATATTTTACTCTTATCAAAGAAAAGTATAACAGAAGAAACAAAACTATGGTGTCTTGTTCAAAGGCCTATAATTATGTTGTGATTCTTGATAATGTGCTTTGTGAAGTTTAGCATTCTCCAAAATCATTCAGAAGTTGAATAACTCTCTTTGACATAAAACCAATGTCCTGCTTGGGTAAATTCATTTGTAATTTTCACTATCTTAAGGTCTAGGATTCCTTTAAACCAAACTGATCCTTTCCATCCTTTTCAAGAAATTCACACACAGTGGAACAGCCAGGTGAAGTGAAAAGAAAATTATACTGTTTAGAGTGCTTTGTCGGAAATTAAAATATTTCTAAACTACTAAATCCATAGTTTGTGAACAGAAATGGAAATAAATGGTACACCTTGTAACAGAGATGTAATGTTGTACGTTGTTAATATTTTCGTACTCAGAATTACAAATAATGAGAACTATGATGTTTGGGGTTGGACGCTGAGTATTCCCTTATTTGAAGGTTATTGGATTATTTTTTAGTTTTGTGTATTTGCTTTGCAATAAAATTTGATGTTTGGTCACTGTTGTTAGCTTTTGTAGTTAGTTTAGTTTAAACTGCAGTTGTCTGGTGTGTCTTGGTTGGAGGGAACTTTTGTTGTAAATATGAGCTTGATGTAAAGATTTAATTAGTGTGCATCCGATGATTAAGCTCATCTCCTGTGCCTCGACTATTCGGGTTTATGTAGCTTTCCTAACTGCAAATTCCAGTCCATTACTTATCCTGGTTTGCACATTTAATATACTGATACTGCCTTTATTTTGGCTTTTCTATTCTTTGTTTGGTTCTCCTATGTCGTGTTGGAGTTACATAAATGCTTTGTCTTTACAAGAAACAGGCTTTCGAGATTGGCATCAAGTCTTCAGATCTAAGTTGAGATTAACATTTGTTTGTTTCTCTCGTTTCAGATGGTAAGCAAATGCAGTTGCTTCTGAATGTGGGTGGACCAAATAGAGTGTCAAGGTTCCAAATGGCTGAGACAGTTGCAAGGATTAGAGGATACAACCATTCCTTGATCAAGTCAGTGTCGGCATCTTCGGTAAGTCTTTCACTTCAACATTTATCTACTTCGATCATGAAATGATTCTAATTTTCTGCCTATATGGTATCTTGATAGTTCTTAAATTCTCATATTTTTTGCTATAATATGATGCCTCAAGTTCTAATCTGATTCGATGAACACATTTTCGTTGTAGGTCAACCGTGGAGTTATATCCCCAGCCGACATCTCTATGGACATCAGCATATTGATTCGGGTGCTTGGTATTAATCCCTGCTCTTTCGAAGATGGAGTCAGATCAACACTCGAAATCAGCGACAGATCTTGATGGGAAATGCCTCTACCTCTGCCTCTTCCCTTGTCGCGATAGTATCGCTCTTCTTGATATCATTGAAAGATGGAGGTCTAGTTTCCTTTGTTGCTGTTCTACTATGTTGTTCTTGTTATCATTGAAAGATAGAGTCAGACCAACACTCGAAATCAGGACAGTTCTTGATGGGAAATGCCTCTATCTCTGCCTTTTCCCTTATAGCGATTGTAGCGCTCTTCTTGATATCATTGAAAGATGGAGGTCTAGTTTCCTTAGTTGTTGTTCTAACTTCCATTTGTAGGAGCAACTTATGATCTTCGTATGGTCACAGTATACAGAAGACACATATGACTTATTATTATCTTTTTAACATCTCGCTCTTTATATTTGAAAATTTTACATTAGCATCTTTACAATTATGAAAGTAAAATATTTAACTTTATTTACCCAATATCATCGGTATAGATATAACATATGATAACATATATGAAATTATCAATTTTGCTAATGATGAAACGATCATTTTAGGTCTTAATTAAAAGGTGGAAGAAATGGATCATTGGCTTAGGGTTTTTTTCCTTCAATTGATTTCTTAACATTTAGGGCTATGCTTATTTATAATATGACAATGTTAAATAGTTTTAAATTTTAAGAGATCGATTTGGGAAAGAAATCAATGTTGCAGTTGTTTGAACCAATGATTTTTTTAACCTTTTAATTTATTTTTAAAATAATTAATTTATCATTGATAAAATGAATAATTAATTTATCATGTCAGTTAAATATTTTTTAAATATTTTATTTTTATAATTATAATGATGTGAATGTAAATTTTTTAAGTTTAAAGATTGAAATACTAAAGGGGTTTAACTACTGAGGATAAATTTTTATTACAATGCTATGATATTTATTACACATTTGATCATATAATTAGTTTAATCTAATCTACATTGGATGGTACCCGCGTAACTTCGATTGCACGTGCCTGCACGTGAGCTCTATCCATCAGTGAGAACCATGGGTCCTACACGGGATGACCCATCGATCTCAGGACAGGTAACCGCCTGGGTTCAGTAAATTTTCTTTTCGGACATCAGGGATTAAATCAGAGGAATACTTTGGACACCCGCAATAGGAAGCCCAGAAAAGATACCTGGATCACGTTAACCATCGAACCCATCGATCTCACCATCGACCGTGGATCTTATTGGTACGAGAAATTCTTCCCATTGGGTGTCAAGTTGGGGTGCCTCAGCACCAACCGCGAAAACCAAGTGGATCACCAGGGTTACTTTGGTCATTGTAATTATCGTGAAAGGGTTTCACCTCTATTTGAACTCCGACTTGATGTTCCCTCTTCTTCCCCAACGGATCGATCTCCGTTCCTCCCGATCCATGCGAGCTATCGTACCTTCGATCCGAGATGGGCGTCAAGAACTTGTGGGACATCTTGGAATCGTGCAAGAAAACCCTCCCCCTTCACCACCTTCAGTGAGTACAGCTTCCCCGTCAGTCTAATCCCACTGTGGTGCTCTTTGTTGCCATTGCCGATCTCGAGAGAGCGTTTCTTTCTTCCGCAGGAACAGGAGGCTGTGCGTGGATCTCTCTTGCTGGCTGATCCAGTTCCAGAATGCCGGACGCTTGCCGGCATGCTCGAAGGAGAAGATCTATCTTCGCAATCTCTTCCACCGTCTCAGAGCCCTAATATCCCTCAACTGTAGCCTCATCCTAGTCACAGGTCCTTGGTGTTTCTTATCCTCTGTCCATGTTCTTGTTTCTTGTCCGTTTAAAATGGCCGATGTCATTTGATTTTTCTATAACATCCTCTGGTGCTTTTAGTTTCCGCTTTTTCTTTTTCCTTTTTCTTCTTTTCTCTCTGCAGGGCTCCTGGACAGCTCTCTGCGTGCAGTGATCGGAACACCTTCAGTCATTAGTTAGGATTTGATTTTTCTTTTTGCCTTTTGTGGATTCTTGTGAAGGCACATATTTTAGCGCAATAAAGATTTCAAATTGCCATCTTAAACGCTCATATATATGTATAATGGATCATTTGATTGGTCACTAGTTAGTCAAGAGAGAACTAATTATAGATTACACATTGTAGTTAGTTATCTTTAGCATCTCGGTTCTTACACTTTAAAAAAATTATATTGACATCTTTATAGTTACGAAAGTGAAACATCTAGGTTCATTTACCATAACGCCGTCGGTTTTACCAATGGAAACACGAAAACAAAGAGTAAAAAGATAATCTTAATGTTCAAGTTGGTGATAGCGGACGGTGTCGGTGGTGACGGATGACGGTGTTGCTAGGAACCGCGGGTGGTTGTTGTGGATGAGGAGAACGGCGACGAGAGGTGAATGTCGTTTTGCATCTGCGTTGGCATCGACGCAGTTGCCAAGCGACGAAAAGGCCATCGATGTAGATGTCGAGCAGCGTTGCTTTGCATTTGTGTCGGCAACTGCGTCGATGTCGACGTAGATGTAGAGCGGCCCTCACCTCTCGTCGCCACTCTCTTCATCCACAACAACCACCCGTGGTCCCTAGCGGCGTCGCTGTCGGCCACCACCGACATCGTCCGTCATCACCAACTGGAATATTAAATTAATTTTTTTCCTTTATTTTCGTGTTTTCGTTAGTAAAATCGATGATGTTAGGGTAAATGAGCCTAGATGTTTCACTTTCGTAACTATAGGGATGCCAATATAACTTTTTAAAGTATACGGACCGAGATGCTAAGGTAGCTAACTACAGGGGGTAATATGTAATTAGCCCGTCAAGAGATTAATTTTTTTGTGAATTCTTAGTGGGCTCATGCCTTCATTTTAGCATGATTTCGAATTGCATTTTCAAATTTTCTTTGTTTCTTTTTTCTATGATGTACCGCTTGAGTGGTCACTAGCCAATTATCGATTGTGTAAATTCTATTTGCAACCAAAAGTATTTGCATCGTAATTGATAGTGTTTAACTAAAATTGCAGTGCTCTTGACTAAAGCTCAAATGAAAGCAGCTTTGAGTAACTATGATTATGTGAAAGTACCATCACCCTCGATGCTTTGTCAATCAATCCTTTTGCATACAATTAAATCTTCCTTGTTCATACAAAAGCACCTACTGTTTATTTTATCTCGCACTGGAAACTTGTAATCTTGATATGCGTCAATTAGATCTTCCTTGTTCATATTTTTACTTGATGTTAGATGAGTTTCCTTGTTGTCCTATAGAATCATAGCATCGATGATTGAAACAAGATACATAAAAGTGTTTTAAAAATAAAACAGAAAGAAGAAAATGATGAGGAAGAGGAATTGAAGGGACTGAAGTAAAGTTATTCGAAAATGAAATTTCTCCCTATTGATTTCTGTTTGGGCTAATTGATTAATTTGAATGTTTATATTTGTATAGGTAAGATTAAAAAAAAGTTTCAATCATAATTTATGTTGTTTTGTATGGAAAGTTATCTTGGAAGTGGTAAGCTTAACACAGTAATGTTGCTTTACATCGTGGAATCTCTTTTGCATCTTCACAGTTTTTTTTTAGATTCGCCGTTCCAACTTGTTTGTTAGTGGTTTCAAATGGCTTTGAGCTTTGTTGGACTCTTCTATGTCCACTGATTAAGCATATAATGGGCTAAAGGAAGGCCAAGTAATTTACACGCTCAGAGCAATTTCACAAAAGAAAGCAAAGAAACAACCAATTAACTATTGAATCTACTGAGCAGTATAAAGTATCACCAATTGTTTTTTGTTTAATTTTTTTTGTTATTTTTGGTGCAAATGCAGTAACATTATATAAATTTGTAGCTGATTGAAAAATGCTTGGAAAGAAGAAATGGATAATTATCTGAGATGCCAGTAGTGTTAGACAAAATGTGCCAACTTATATGGTTCTTATTCTTTGTTAAAAAATGTGCATTTTGGATGTATTTGTTCTGCACCTAGTTACTGGTTTTAACCATACCTTTTGAGATTTAAACTTCAATACTGTCTGTCTTAAATGTGAATAAACTACATATGCATGTATGTGTAAACACATCATCAGATAAGCATTTCAAGCATATACTAAACTTCTATTCACATTTTGCATTTTGTAGATGGGTCAATTCCTTCCATTAAATTGTCCACTTATAGACGGCGGTTGGGTTTGTGTGAGGTTGACTCTCTTTATAGAATACCTTGCCTGCCTAGAAGATTATGCCATATATTTTCTTGAGAAGGTAGGAATTTTGGTGCATCAGGTTATACAATACGACACAAACTCCCAACCGATGCCATCAGTTTCGCTCCGTAGAAACATGGGTTCTGAATTCTCATGTATGATAAAGGAAGCAAAAGTTCTTGGAACAGCTCTTGGGGTCCCCTTCTTAGATGGGTATATCTCTTTTTGCTTTCTGTTTGATGCCTTGTCACATGAGCCACCGACCAGAATAGTCTTTTATCATGTTTAGATTTTTCTAGTCTTTTAGGTTCACACATGAGCACTCAGAAAAGGTCAGTTGTAGAAGTCAACTTATTTGACACTTCTATTTACTGCCAAGCAGTGTCACTATGATCTTGCTACAATCTAACTTCTCAATTTGCTTCCTGAGCACAGAATTTCTTTGTCTAAGTGTCATTCTCCCTTCTTGTTTGGGTTGTCTCTTACACCAATTGTATTTTGTATGACTGGCTTAAGCTACACTTGAAACATGTAATTTCCAAAATAACTTCTTTTATATATACTATGGAAATTTTCCCACCAGCAGAGTACTTTTGAAAGCAGGCATCATTTGGTTCCAGAATGAGAGAATTCACAAAAGGATAAAAAAAATAAAAATTCGGTTAATTAACAAAACTTTGTTGTTTTGACTGGAAAATTATAAATATATAGTTCCAAACTGGTTTTCTCATGGTTTCCTTTTGCTTCTGTTCACAATTTCCTGATGTTTCCTGTTTCTTATATTTGAAAATTATATCACACCTTAAATTTTCTAATTTTGCATGTTTCGCTGGTTACCTTTATTTTGAAATTGCAATATGTTTTTAGACCTATTTATGAACCATTGAATTTACTGGAAGCTATGAATATTACCGTTGAGCTAAAACTAGTTCTTAATGAGAGCGCATGTTTCATTTATTCAACACAATGGCCACAGAAAAGGTTCCGAATGGGACTTGCATTTGTTCTGCAAACTTAACTTTGGTCTGGAAAATCTTGATCCAACTCTTTGGCCTGGAATTCCACACAATGCACTGAATACTGAGCATCTGTTTGCCCCTCTTGTCTTTCGCCCTAGTCTCTCTTATAGGTTGAATGCATTTGATCATCAGGCAGCCAGATGTAAGCATTTCAACAACTTCCGTTATCATATCTGTTTGTCTTTGTCTTT